GCTGCTTAGTGAACCATAGCGCTATGGGCAGTGGCGGCAACAGCTCGTTCCGACAGCTGTCTTGGCAGTCTTGGCACATGAGAAATTCCCCATTTTATTGAAAAATACGGTAACCTCGAGCCTCTCGACTGAAAAATAACTTCTAATTAACCAACATTGTGCACTTTTAACTTCAAATTATGGAGCATTTTTTCCATATGGTGCATGCAAAATAATGAGAGCACTTGCTGACTTTTAATTAAATCAAAATTCCAATTAAGCGACTTCAAATTATCGGGAGTTGACTGTATACATTTTGAAGATTAATGACCCAGGAACTGTATAAAAAAAGAATAAATGTTGAACAAAATGTTTCTATTCACATAAATAAATAAAATAGGAACTAAGGTGCTGCTTCATTGCTCGTGCCATGTAGTAAAGCATTGCTTGGTTTTTAATGAGACACAAGTGAACTTTAACAGTTTTCTGAGTAAATTTTTTATTTTTATTTTTTCAATAGGAGCCAGCTGCAGGTGTTCTAATATAGATGGATACCCATGATGTGAATAATCCTTCTATTGGAGGTGTTCAATGAACTTGGCTTTTTTGTCTAGCGTCTGCTTTTCCATGAGCCACCTCACTCGGCATAGCTTGGCGTTCCTACATATGCACCTAAGCAAGCATATTTTTTCACACCTCGTAAAAAAAAATACAACAATATTGCACGCAGTTTCAAAGTGCTTCTCAGGTCTAAAATGGGCTTCAGTGGCTTTCTTGTCGTGAGCCAGCACCCAGCAATGTGTGGACCTTGCACGTAGATTGTGCACAAAGCTACACACTTGCAGAGAAAAGCTTGAGGCTGTAACAATGAACGGCTGCAGATGTCTGAGGCTGACGCAAAGCTCAGGTGCTGTCATCCTTGGACTCTAAGCTCGCCCTCACTCAATTCAGGTTCAGGTATAGAGCGGCACGTGTTTTTTTGCAGCGCAGGTACGCACCCATGCGCACGTGATGACCACGCCATAGGAGCAACTAGTCACACTAGATGTGGCCCTGTGTCTGATGTAATGATACAAGTGAAACCAAAGCTACTAGAAACAGCCACTGCCACACTTTATACATGTGGTGAACCATCAGAAATATTTTTTATAGAATACTTTGTCCTTGTCTCCTAGCAGCAGCTCTCTATTAAATAGCTGGCATATATTTCTGGCAATCATTACTGCCCAACTGGATTTTATTATACTATTACTGGCAATTATTACTGCCGCTGTCAGATTGTGAAGCTGACTCCTTACTTTGATATTTGACTTGAAAGTGTTCTTTTGATTACAAAACTTTCATATTATTGTAATATACCCACAAAGGGCATGCACTTCTATCAAGTTTGCCTGCCGAGTGCATTTTTCGAACAAATGCACGGGCAACTCTGAAAGTTGAGTGGCTAAACCAGAAAGTGAAAGAAATTTAACATACCAACATCGATGATCTAAGAGATCGGCAATGATCACCGGTGATTGATTTGAATAGGCCTGGTAACGAGAGAGTTAAGGGGTCGATCACGAGAGCATCCAGACACACAGGAATACTTGCTCTCAAAGTGTCTGCAGCACTCAAAGAAATGCTTTGCATTTAGAAGATCCACTCTCAATTTGGTTTAAAATTCGCCAAAATGTTGTCAGAGCACTTCAGAAAATATTATGAAGAACTTGCTGCATTGTTTTTGTTGGAACAGAATTGAAAAATGTCAAACATCTTGTTTCGAGAGTTCGGTTGCTACTGCATAAAGCACATTTCTTGTAACAAGAAAATAAGATAACGCTAAGAATACATTTTCGACCAGTGAGAACTCTTTGTAAAGTAAATGATCATTTTAATTAAACTCTACTTTGTCCTTGTAGATGTGTAGCATGCACATTTTCGTTTCTCTGTATTTCGACTAAATACGGTAATATAAAAGCAGTGAAGGGGAAAGTCGGGAGTCGGATCATGTGGTGTAAGAATGTGGCGAATGGGGAGTACCGCAGTAGGATCTAAAGGCTACAGCCACGCATGATTTTCCAGACTTTGTTGCTCTGGTTGAGAGAATGCTGGGATTCCGATTGCGTTGGTTGCATTTTTCCTTCTCGTCACTCTTCCATCTGTTCTCTGTATCCGCACCGTGTTGTGAACCAAGTGCCCTGCGCTCTACACCTTTGTGTAAGTGGAGTAGCGCACGTTGCACAGCCAGGCAGACCACAGCAAGGAGTACGGCTATGCCAGTCATCCAAACACCATCTGAGAAAGAAGTTATGCTTCTAAACTGTGCTTTATTTGGGTGTTATCACTCTTCTGTGCTCTGAAGGTGGCTATGGCTGAGCGTTATAGCTATGACTGAATTTTTTTTTGTGTGTATTATTTCGCGGTGCACAAGACGGAAATTTCACTGCAGGGGCATTTTGAGTGTGTAAAAGATATCGCTGTCTCTCTTTTGCTGAGTGCCCTGAAGCAGGACGTGCAGTCAATTTAAGTTTGAAGGGCACTGCTTCAGGAGGTGCTAGCGCATGTTTTCATCTTGCTCAGACTAGCGATACTGGTGACTGCTTCGTACCTGAACTAGAGACAATTTGTGAGATGAACAAGTTCATAAAGTTTTCTAGCATTTCACAACTGAGGCTCTCTGGTCATATTCCTTAAAAGAATAGAAAAGCTTATGCAGAGAGACAGTGTAGAGAAATGTAAAGCACCATTTTAGGGAAATTGTAATCAGGATTCAGTGCATATTTGCAATGACAGAAGTGCTGCTCCGATTGCTCTAAACTGCTCCAAAAGAGAAATGCTGCTTCAAACAGTAATTTTTGTTAGTACAAATTAACCCAGGGCTGCCCCGAAATGACACCGAGAGAATGAGAGTGACAAATGTTTACTCTTTGATTAACTCGCAAGTCCTTGAGAAACTTGAAAAAACTAGTGTACTTTCATCCCACAGTGCTCATCCCACTGTGAATTATTGGCTGTGATCCCATTTGTGCGACAGAACTGCAATAATGACCATATAGTTCATTTGACCGTTTTTTTTTTTCTCCTCTGGTAGACATGTAGGCTAGTGTGGTGAATATGAACTGGATTGCTTTTATCTCGTAACTGTTATCTAGTGCTCATTTGGTAACGCTTGTAATGGACTGTGGTTATATTTAAATTTGGCACTTAGCTTTTCAAGTTTAATTTGATTTCTGCCCCAAATATTAGTATTTCAAATTATAGCTCATTTCACAGTTCATTTTTGACAACCTGCCATTTGCGTCATAAAATTCACTTTGATTATTGTTTGGTAAATAGCTTTGATAATAAAAGATATTTACGAGATGCTCTGACAATGCTCTGAACTACGATCCTTGGCCACGTGGTTTCAAAAGATGGCATTCTTCCTGACCCTGCCAAAATTACAGCCGTTTCAGCGTTTCCCGAATCGACCACCATGAAAGAGCTCCGAAGCTTCATAGGTCTTTGCTCTTACTTCCGGTGCTTCGTCCACAATTTCGCGACGATCATCGCTCCTTTGACCAATTATTGCATGGCAAATTTAATATCTGCCCCTAAGACACTAGTAGCTGCAGTAAACTACCATTTTTTTCTGCTTGGAAAACTCTTATGGCTGCTTCAAAGTAGTACTTTTACTGCTCCAAAGTATGCTCCAAAATGTAAAAAGTCACTTCCATCACTGATATTTGGCACAATTAACAGTCATGGCCCATCAAGTAGGAATTGTGGGGACTGCAATGAAAGGCTGGCAAAGCCTACCAAGCATGGACATCTTACCAAGAACTTCTGCAATTATTGACACTACTGCCAGCAAACCTGAATAATCTAAGTTGCCAAATCAAGTCTCTCAAGTTACATGCTTCAAAAGGCGTGAGTTGCACAAAGTTGGCGTGATAAGCACATTGTGTGGGCTGCCCACAGCAGAAATCACACTGAAGGGCCAAGGATGTGGGAACTGTCTAGAATACAACACAAAAGATGAGCATAGGTGCTTACGGCAAAGCCCAAACAAGAAATTCTGTTGACGGTGAAAACAGCACATTGCCAGAAGGTTTATGACTCTCCTTGATGATTGATTGATTTGTGGGGTTTAACGTCCCAAAACCACCATATGATTGAGAGACTTCGTAGTGGAGGGCTCCGGAAATTTCGACCACCTGGGGTTCTTTAACGTGCACCCAAATCTGAGTACACGGGCCTACACCATTTCCGCCTCCATCGGAAATGCAGCCGCCACAGCCGGGATATGATCCCGCGACCTGCGGGTCAGCAGCCGAGTACCTTAGCCACTAGATTACCGTGGCGGGGCTTTATGACTCTCCTGCTATGAGAGCCTTGTCGTGTGCCTAAAAAGGCTTATCTGAGCTTCGAAAATCTTACACAATTAAGCTCCTTTACTTAACATGTAGACCAAATCTGGTATAGAAAGAAGGAGCAGTACTTTTAAGATAATGTTTTCTACAAACAACATTAAAACGATATTCCGGAAACTTCAGAAGGCAGCCACGTGACCAAAACATTTTTCTCTTGGAAATATTCTACCATTTTTCACTGTTTTTAATGCAGTAAATCAGCACAATTTTTTTAATACATTTTAGATAGTCACCAAAATGGCTGGAACGTTCGGCATTGATTGACCGAGCTTCATTTTGTCCACTGCCAGACGACATTCTTCATGTGGTTGCAGCGACGAATTGCACCGAACTAACGGGCATTATTGGTATAATGACTGTCACACTCCCACACTAACTCTATGAAAGAGTGCCATTTAGTTTAGTTTTCATTGCAGCATTCGTAGTGCACTGCTTTCTTGATGGGCACTAGAGCAATCACCATGTTTGTGTGATACAGCCCTTTTCTGAAGTCAAACAGCTCTGAGCAGACGCCAAGTTCTTGTGAATGTTTGTTGCACCAGCAGCTTGACAAGATGAACCATTCCAAATCCTATAAGAGACTTCTCTTAGTTGTATGTGCGAGAATGGTGCCTCATTCTTTTGCAGGAAGCAGATGAAAACCTCAACTTTGATGAGATGATCCTGGAGGCTGCCAAGTCAATTACGGCCGCCACATCGGCCTTAGTGCGGGCGGCTTCAGCGGCCCAGAGGGAGCTTGTTGCTGCGGGCAAGGTGAGCACATCAGTCACTTGCAGCGTTACCTGGCGGCTTTAATACTCTTTGGAGTGCATCACCTTGACATACACTTGTGATTTCTATGCACACATATTCAAGTTGTACCAGGCATAAAAGCTCTGCTTTGAAATATGACAGAAATTATGTGCAACAATGAATTGGTGTAGTACCTTCTGTTAGTGTGCTTTTTGCTTATTATTGGGTTATAGAACTGCTATATATAGTACCTGCTATAATGCAGGTGTAGGAATGTACTTGAATTGAAAGTTAGTGCTTGTGTGGGTCCTGTTTCATAATATGTAATACTGAGTACTTTGTGGAATGAAAGTGCACTCTATTGTCACACTTATAGGCACTGGCAGGGGAGAGCAAAAGGGTCGCTTGCCCCATCAATCCAGACCAGAACTTGCCACCCCCACCCGTTTGCTTTGTTAGACACAATACTGAGGCAAACTAACCGACAGTAATGTCAGAGAAAGGGTGTTATTAGGAGTAATTGTAATGTAGATTTGAACAAAGTAAACTGGACAAAAAGATAACTTGCTATTTTTGCACCTCTTCCAAAGCTGACGTGAAACACAGGTGTGCGTCCATATATATTGCGTTTTCGAGCCTCGTTTGACCACAATCAGCCTTTCTTAGGTCGAGCGCATCTGTTGTTCACCGTATAGATACCGGTCAAGAGACGCCATTACGGCAATGTCCATATCGTGTGTCAACTACCGAACGCCGTGCCATCAATGAACAGGTTGACGACATGCTGACAAGTGGCATAATCGAACCGTCAAGCAGTCCCTGGGCCTCTCCAGTTATGTTGGTGAAGAACAAGGACGGATCCATCAGGTGTTGCGTGGACTACCGACGTCTCAACCGAATCACGCGCAAGGATGTCTATCCGCTGCAACGCATTGACGATGCCTTGGACTGCCTACAGGGAGCCGAATTTTTCTCTTCTTTAGATCTGCACTCTGGATACTGGCAGGTACCCATGGCAGAGGCCGAACGCGAAAAAACAGCTTTCATCACGCCCAACGGGCTTTACGAATTCATAGTGATGCCCTTCGGCCTCTGCTACGCGCCAGCTACTTTCGAGCGAATGATGGACTCTATCCTTCAAGGCCTCAAATGGAACGTTTGCCTTTGTTATTTAGATGACATTGTCGTCTTTTCAACTGATTTCGCAACCCATTTAACCCGCCTCGAGAAAGTCCTCAAGTGTGTTTCTGCCGCAGGGCTGCAACTGAATCTGAAGAAGTGCCATTTCTCCGCTCGAAAGCTTACGATCCTTGGCCACGTGGTTTCAAAAGATGGCATTCTTCCTGACCCTGCCAAAATTACAGCCGTTTCAGCGTTTCCCGAATCGACCACCATGAAAGAGCTCCGAAGCTTCATAGGCCTTTGCTCTTACTTCCGGTGCTTCGTCCACAATTTCGCGACGATCATCGCTCCTTTGACCAAGCTCCTCGCCGGCTCTAGAGACCTTTCAGCCTGGTCTGCCACCTGTGACGACTCTTTCAATGAACTGCGCCGCCTCCTCACGTCGCCGCCTATTCTGCGACACTGCAATTCATCGGCACCCACAGAGATCCACACCGACGCTAGTGGTGTTGGGCTAGGCGCTATTCTTGCACAGCAGAAAGACGGCTTCCAAGAGTACGTGGTTGCCTACGCAAGCCGAACTCTTAGCAAAGCCGAAATCAACTATTCCGCCACTGAAAATGAATGCCTCGCCATTATTTGGGCGAGAGAGAAATTTCGACCTTACGTGTACGGGCATCCTTTTGACGTCGTGACTGACCACCACGCCCTCTGCTGATTGTCATCACCGAAGGATCCAAGCAGTCGCCTCGCTCGATGGGCATTACGCCTCCAAGAATATAATGTTCGCGTGGTCTATCGCTCCGGCCGGAAACATCCGGACGCAGACGCCCTATCCCGTTCACCCCTGCCCGCTGACCCGGACTGCTGCAAAAGTCTAACCTGTGATGCCACTGCCGTCACCATCGCCGACATGCCATCTGAGCAACCCAAGGACCCTTGGGTTGCTTCGATTCTAGACATCCTGGCTGGGTGGACGACTTTCCTTCCTTCTCGCACGTTGCGTCGGCAAGTCGAGCACTTCATTCATCACTCGCGACGACGTGCTGTACCGACGCAACTACGCACCCGGTGGACGTAAGTGGCTACTCGTGATTCCATGTCATCTGCGATCCGAAATTTGTTCCACGTTTCATGACGACCCCCAATGTGGCCACGCAGGTTTCCTGAAGACTCATTCTCGCATACGTCTCCGATATTACTGGCGTGGCATGTACTGTTTTATACGACAATACGTTCGGGCCTGCTCGACGTGCCAGAGACGAAAAACTCCCCATTATCACGCCAGCGATACCTTGTTACCCTTACCATGCCCATCCCGACCATTCGATCGCGTGGGCATCAATATCTATGGTCCCCTTCCTAACACTGCTGACGGTAACCGCTGGATCATAGTTGCCGTCGACCATCTCATGCGGTATGCCGAAACTTCATCCCTTCCCTCGTCTACAGCAAAAGACGTTGCGACTTTCGTTCTTCACAACATTGTATTACGTCATGGATCACCTCGGGAGTTACTGAGCGATCGTGGTCGCGTATTCTTGTCAGACGTCATCGCAGCATTGCTGCGTGAGTGCCACGTCGTTCACCGCAGTACAAGCGCCTATCATCCCCAGACCAATGAAATGACATAGTGCTTCAACTGCACCCTTAGTGACATGCTGTCTATGTATATCTCGTCAGACCACTCCAATTGGGACCGAGTGCTCCCGTTTATCACGTTCGCCTATAATACCGCCATTCAAAGCACTACTTGGTTCTCTCCTTTTTTCTTCCTTTACGGACGCGAACCTTCTTGCATTATGGACACCATTCTTTCGTACAAACCTGACTCCCCAGAGTCCACGACTTTGTCTCAAGCCGCTACATACGCTGAAGAATGCCGCCAACTGTCAAGATCATTCACAACCCAAGACCAAGGACGCCAAAAGCACCACTATGACGCATCAGATAACACTACTTTCTACGATCCAGGTTCACTCGTCTGGCTGCATGTCCCTTCTGCTACACGTGGCCTTTCTACCAAGTTGGTCCCCAAGTATCACGGCCCATATCGTGTGCTACAAAAAACGTCGCCAGTAAATTACCTCAACGAACCACTGGAACCATCTTCTGACCAACGTCGTCGTGGCCAAAAAATTGTCCACGTCTCAAGACTTAAGCCCTGCTACGACCCTCCCGTGTTTACTTGTCCATAGGTCACCAGGATGGCTCCTTATTTCGCAGGGAGTAATTGTAATGAATCTGAATAACGGACGCTCTGCTGGTAATGAAGAAGACGATGATGATCGGTGGCTGTAGTAGTAGCTCGCGCACGCCGCTCGCCATTAGCCAGACCTGCCTGATAAAGCACATTTTGCCAAGCCGCGTCTGAACCTTTCTCGACAACACCTCTATTTTAATATATATATATATGATTGTAGGAGAAGCCAACAAAGAAGAAGTCCATGTGAATTAGAATAAATGCATAGCATCTTGACCACGATGTCTCTCCATTTTGTAGCATCACACAAGTCGACAGGATCGACCTCATCAAACTGTCATGGCTAGAGCAAAGCCTCCTCTTAACGTACAGAAGTTCAAGGGAACACGAGAAGACGGCCCCATCGATAAGTGGCTTCTTCTTTTCGACATGAAGGCGGCTGAGGCATCATGGACTCACCGCGATCGATCGGGTCAGTCACTTCAGCGAATACCTTGAAGAAGAAGCGTTCAAGTGCTACTTGACAGAAATTTTCGCCAACTGTGAGACAACTTGGAATGATATTAAGCTCGATATGCAAGCCCACTTTACTACGACTGACGGAGATGCATTTTGTCTCTTCATCCACTATTGACTGAAAGGAGGGCAGACCATCAAGGACTACTATGATGAGAAAAAGCGACTGGGCTCCTTGGCTGACCTCAAAGAGTGCCACATCCTTTCTGGACTGACTGATGGTGCTCGCCAGGCTGTCTTCCAAGTCATCATTAGAGTGGCTCACTGCTGCTCAACGGGTCGAGACATCTTTAAAATGGGTGAGAGACGTTTTCTTTACTCATAACGCTAGTACTGCATCAAGAGCTCCACGTCTCTTCAGCAGACCGCAGCAGCCAACATTAACTCCCCGACCGCGTGCCCCGCAAAACGAATGTAGATACTGCTCAGCTTCTGGTTTCCCACGACAGTTTCACTGGCACAACGAATGTCTGCGCCGCGGCAATGTGTCTGTTATTGAGACTGGACGGGGAAACGAGGAGGGCGACCCAGTGTTTCATTAATACACTTTTGTGCTCTCATCAACGGAAAGTCAGTAACTGCAATTCTCGATACAGGAGCAACAATTACTTGTATCAGCGAGGAAGTGTACAAAGAGCTAAAACTTCATTTGATGAGAGAGACTATCATAATGGTCCAGCAAGTTGCTTCTAGCATTCAAACTATGGGTCGCGTAAGCATTCAGTTACAAATTGGGAACGTCAAAAAGAAAGTTTCTGTACACGTTCTGTGAGGCATGAGAATGCAATTAATTCTTGGCCTTGACAGCGCTTCGTACTTCGATCTTTCTTCTTAATCTGGAAAGCAAGTCCGTGATACAAGCACGCGAGAATTTCAACCTTCTACATCACAATGAAAAGAAAACGACTCAAGCCTCGCTGATGCGAACCCTGACTTCAGAAAACTTGTCAACTTGAGCATGAGTCTGCAGCGCTCGACTCTTCTTTAAGCAAGTATGAAAAGATCTTTTCGAAATATCAGACAGATATTGGGTGCATTACTAATGAGCAACTTGGGATCGTACTCGCCAATGCTGTCCCTATTCATCGAGCACCATACCAATGTTCACAGGCAGACAAAGCGAAGATTAACAAACAAATTGACGCCCTCATTAAGCTAGGTGTTGTGAGGCCTTCATTGT